CCCCAGGGGGCCCTCCCCCCCCCTCAGAGGTCCCTCATATCCCCCCCCCCCGGACTCTCACAGGGCTCCCTCACCGTTCTCAGTGCTCACTAACCCCCCTCAGGGCCCCTCCATCCCCCTCATGGCTCCCTCATTTCCCCTCAGAGCTCACTCATCCCTCCTTACCCCCTCTCAGGGGTCCCTCAACCCCCCTCAGGATGGCCCACATGCCTCCCTCATCCCCCCCTCTCAGGAGTCCCTCACTCACACTCAGGGGTCCCTCACCACCCCTCAGAGCTCCCTCATCCCTCCTTCCCACACCCCTGCAGGGATCCCTCATGGCTCCATCACCCCCTCTCAGAGGTCCCTCACCCCTCCAACCCTCTGGGGTCCCTCACCACCCCTCAGGGGTCCCTCATATCCCCACTCCCCTTTCCCTGGCCTCTCGCAGGTCTCCCTCATCCCTTCTCAGGGCTCACTAACCCTCCTCAGGAATCCCTCACTCACCCTCAGGCCCCTTCACCCCTCTCATGGCTCCCTCATTTCCCCTCAGAGCTCACTCAGCGCTCCCTCATCCCTCCTTACCCCCTCTCAGGAGTCCCTCAACGCCCCTCAGGGATCCCTCACACACCCCCTCAAGGCTGCCCGCTCACTCACTCACTCACCCGCCCGCCGCCGCCGCGCTCCGCCCGTGGCTGCCGCAGTGGGCCGGGTCCGGCCCGGGTCCCGCCCCGCCCGTCGCCGCCGCCGCGGCGCTGAGGGGAGTCTCCCGGCGGTTGAGAGCGGCGGCGGGGCCATGTCGGCGCTGGAGTGGTTCGCCCACAAGGCGCTGGGCGACGGCATCTTCTGGATCCAAGAGCGCTTCTACGAATCGGGCAACCGGGCCAACATCTGGCTGGTGCGGGGCTCGCAGCGGGACGTGGTGATCGACGCTGGGCTGGGGCTGCGCAGCCTCCCCGAATACCTGCGGGCCGCCGGCCTCCTACCGCCGGCCGAAGGGCCCTCTCCGCGGCCGCTGCTGGCCGTGGCCACCCACGTTCACTTCGACCACTCGGGAGGGCTGCAGCACTTCGAGGAGGTGGCGGTGCACAGCGCCGAGGCGGCGGCCCTGCTGCGCGGAGACAACTACGAGGCCGTCACCTGGCTGTGGGAGCGGGAGGTGGCGCGGCCGCCCCGGCCCGGCTGGCGGGCCCGGCAGTTCCGCGTCCCCCCGGTCCGGCCCACCCGCCTGCTGCAGGAGGGTGAGTGGGGCGGGAAAGAGGGTAAAAAAAAACCTTTCCAGCGCTCGGGAGCCGAGAAACGGTGCTTAACCCCCCCCCCCCCCC